ATCTCAAGGTAAGTGTGAGAAAAACAACAAGTATAAACATATTCTTCAGGAGCTGTAACCCAGGTTCCTTTACTCTAAAAGTAACATTGACCTGGCAGTGCCTATGGCTCAGTGGGTAGGGCACTGTCCCCATATACGGTGGGAGGTTCGAACCTGGTCCTGGCCAAACTGTAACAAAAAAAATAGCCGGGTGTTGTAGTCCCAGCTACTCGGGAGCCTGAGGCAAAAGAAATGCCTAAGCCCAAGAGCTGGAGGTTGCTATGAGCTGTGATACCACAGCAGTCTACTGAAGCCAACAAAGTGAGATTCTGTCTCCAAAAAAATAAAAATAACATTGACCAATCTAACTTTTGGAAAAAAGACTTCTATCAGTTCCAGTAAAAATAAGAGAATTTTCAGGTAGCAACTATCCTTAGACCTTAACCACATTAAAAATATTCACCATGAGGCTCGGCGCCTGTACCTCAAGTGGCTAGGGCGCCAGCTACATGCACCAGAGGTGGCAGGTTCAAGCCCAGCCTGGGCCTGCCAAACATCAATGACAACTACAGCCAAAAAATAGCTGGGTGTTGTGGTGGGCACCTGTAGTCCCAGCTACTTGGGAGGCTGAGGCAGGAGAATAGGCGGCACCCATAGCTCACTGGGTAGGGTGCCGGCCACATACGCAGAGGCTGGCGGTTCAAATCTAGCCTGGGCCAGCTAAGACAAGGACAATTGAAAAAAAAAAAAAAGCTGCGCATGTGGTGCCTATAGTCCCAGCTACTTGGGCTGATGCATGAGAATTGAGGTTGCTGGCTCAGCGCCTGTGGCTCAAGTGGCTAAGGCGCCAGCCACATACACCTAAGGTGGCAGGTTCGAATCCAGCCCTGGCCACCAAACAACAATGATGGCTGCACCAAAAAAAATAGCCAGGCATTGTGGTGGGCGCCTGTGGTCTCGGCTACCTGGGAAGCGAAGGCAGGAGACTCACTTGAGCCCAGGAGTTGGAGGTTGCTGTGAGCTTTGATGCCACAGCACTCTACCCAGGGGGATAGTTTGAGGCTCTGTCTCAAAAAAAAAAAAAAAAAAAAAAAAAGAGAATTGAGGTTGCTGTGTGATCCACTCCCCTCTACCCAGGGCAAAACCTTAAGCCTCTGTTTCAAAAAAAAAAAAAAAAACCACCTCACCATGAGATGGGTGTCTATACAAACTCATACTTTTGCCCCAGCATATTACTGAAAATAACAAAGCCTTATTTAACTTCTTCCTAACATAACATAAACCTTGAATTCTATAACTAGCTACCAAGTAATAAATTTATATGAAGATATATACATTAAAGAGAATATATTTCTATTTTAAAAGGCTTACTTTTCAATACTTACATGCAAATGGCAACCATCACCACTTTTCCTGGTCCTTTAAAGAACACTGATGCGGCTCTGGAGCGTGGCTGTAAAATAACAAAGACGAAAATCCTCCAAAATTCTCAGAGAAGCACTATATGGTGCTCTACTCAGGGCAATGAGTGAGACTCTGTCTCAAAATTGTTTTTAAATTCTCAAACAGATCAAAACAAAGGAGAACAAAGAAAATAGGGAAATTTATTCCAGGAAATATTTTCTTTTCTTTTTTCTTTGTTTTTTCTGAGACAGAGTTGCCCTCAGGAGAGTGCCGTGGCGTCACAGCTCACAGCAACCTCCAGCTCTTGGGCCTACATGATTCTCTTGCCTCAGCCTCCCGAGTAGCTGGGACTACAGGAGCCCACCACAACACCCAGCTATTTTTTGTTGCAGTTTGGCTGGGGCCAAGTTCGAACCCGCCACCCTCTGTGTATGGGGCTGGCATCCTACTCACTGAGCCACAGGTGCTGCCCAGAAATATTTTCTTAAACTAAGTTTTCTTCAGCTGTTTCCTGAATATATATTTCCTATGGTTTTTCTCATATCCTTTCCTCTCTCTGGAATGCCGCTGTCTTCTACTGCAATCTAAGTTTACATAGCCAACCTCTTCACCTTTCTCTATAAACCTCCCGTGATCACCCACACAGAAACACCCACTACGCTATGAATTTATTATTGCCCTCACATTTCTATGAAAGTACTTTATACCACCTGCCTTCATGCCATTTGTTCAGGAAGTGCTTACTGAGTAACACTACATGCCTGGGAGCCACTGGATGATTTTAAGAAGTGACTTGACATAATCTGATTTATGTTTTCAAAAGATACAATTTATGGTGTGGAGAAAAGGCAAAAGGTGGAGAGATCAATTAAGAGGGTATTCAGGTAAGACATGATGATGGAAGATTTCAATGAACATGTTAAAAAGTCACATTAAAACTGTTTTAGATAAAATCCCAATGAAACCTGCTAATGGACTTAAAGTATAAAAAGTCCCATAATGAATCTTTAACATTTGGAAGTTGGATAAAGAAGCAGAGTCCTTTACAAAGGAGACAGAGGTGGAGGAAGAGGAATTAAATGAGTATAAGAAAAAACAGGAGAAAGATCATCTTGAGCTCCTAGAAGTTCCAAGAAGATGGCTCGGCGCCTGTGGCTCAAGCGGCTAAGGCGCCAGCCACGTACACCTAAGGTGGCTGGTTCAAATCCAGCCCACGCCCGCCAAACAACAATGATGGCTGCAACCAAAAAAGAGTTGGGCGTTGTGGCAGGCAACTCGCTTGAGCCCAGGAGTTGGAGGTTGCTGTGAGCTGGGATGCCACAGCACTCTACCCAGGGGGACAGCTTGAGGCTGTCTCAAAAAAAAAAAAAAGAAGTTCCAAGAAGAGGAATATGAATACTTTCTTTTTTTTGCAGTTTTGGCAGAGGCCAGGCTTGAACCCCCACCCTGGTATATGAGCCACAGGCACCGCCCTTTTTTTTTTGAGACAGTCTCAAGCTGTCGCTCTGGGTAGAGTGCTGTGGTATCACAGCTCACAGCAACCTCAAACTCTTGGCCTTAAGTGATTCTCTTACTTCAGCCTCCCAAGCAGCTGAGACCACAGGCACTTGCTGCAACATTGGGCTATTTTTATTTTTATTTTATTTATTTATTTTTGAGACAGAGTCTCACTTTGTTGGCCCCAGTAGAGTATCATGGCATCATAGCTTACAGCAATCTCAAACTCTTGGATTCAAGCAATCCTCTTGCCTCAACCTCCCAAATAGCTGGGACTACAGGCACCCGCCACAACACTGGGCTATTTTTAGAAACAGAGTCTCGCTCTTGCTCAGGCTGGTCCTGAACTCCTGAGCTCAGGCAATACACCCGGCCTTGGCCTACAGAGTGCTGGGATTACAGACATGAGCCAGTGGGCCTGACCTATGAATCTTTAAGTTTTAAGGCATGGGCTTGGCCCTGGAGAAGCAGGTGAGGAAAATAAATAGAGAGTGAAATTTGAGATTTTTAGTGGAGCCATGCTATTAAAGTTTGTTATTGGCGGTGCCCGTAGCTCAGTGGGTAGACCACCAGCCACATATACTGAGGCTGGTGGGTTCGATCCCTACCTGGGCCAGCTAAACAACGACAACTGCAACAACAAAAAAAACAGCTAGGTATTGTGGCAGGCCCCTACTTGAGAGGCGGAGGCAAGAGAATTGCTTGTGCCCAAGAGTTTGAGGTTGCTGTGAGCTGTGACGCCATGGCACTCTACCCAGGGTGACAGCTTGAGATTGTCTCTAAAAAAAAAAAAAAAGACTTCATTCTTAATTAGTACCATAGCTTATACTAATTGTCCCCTGGCAGGCAAGACACAATGGTCTGTAATAAACAGGAATATACTTCAACATGGCCTAATATTATAAAGAAAGCTGAGGTGAGATTTCATTCGGGCATTAGGGAATCAAGCTTGTTCTACATTTTCACAGTGTTTTCCAGCCAGCTCTACAGGCCAGGATATTAAAGAGCACCTCTTAAATTCCACAGGGAAAACAAGAAAAAGAGCAGGTTTCCAGCTGTGAAGTGTTGGGCAAGGCCTTTACAAAGAGTCAAATCCAAAGCTCCGAGTTCTGTGACATCGCCTTTGATGTTCTCAGTTCTCTGAACTGCCTTCAGAGCTGAAGGACGGAACTACGCAGGGCAAACCTTGTCCATCTGGCTTCGACTTGTACTTAGATTTGTAAGCTATAAACTCTGACCATGGGTCTAAATTTCTGAGTTCTACTGTTTATTGATAACAGAGTGTGTGTTTTATTATAAGAATATATTATACCCTTTGGTTGAACAGAGAAAAAACTCAATGAAATTATTAAAGGAACTATTGAAGTAGAAAGTGAATATAAATAGTAAATGAATGATCTGTAAGGTGAAAAATAGAAAAAAGGTTTGAGAACCTATGGGAGGGATAAGATAAATAATCAGGAAAACGAGATTTACTGAGCTCAAACCACTGCAATAAAAAAGGCTGTAGAAAAGGGGAAGATGTATTGGTAGTAATTAGAAATAATGACAAAGCCCAGTGAAACCTCATAAGAGAATCAAAATCTGGAAAAATAAATCGCAAGCAACCAAGACCCACAAGCCTCTTGGGAAGTATCTTGTAAAATCCACCTGTAAATTCCATAATAGAAGCAATCAGAATAGTGCCACTTTTCAAAGATAAGGATGGAAAATTGTTAATATTTAATGAAACCAAATATTCAACATCCATTTTTTTCTATTTTTATATATAGTTGAATATTTTCACAATAAAAAAAGTTTCTTTTATATTAGGACAAGAATAGAAAATCTGGATAGATTTCAGAGACAAAAGCAGCATAATTTGTTCAAAACATTATTAGTACATTTCAAGGCAGTATTACTATTGCATAAGTAAATATATTAAGTGGGGAAGAGGTACTTCTAGTTGTCTAAAGGACCATACCAAGAAATGCACAAAATCAGAAATATAGGCTCAGCACCCGTAGCTCAGTGGTTAGGGCACCAGCCACATACACTGGGGCTGGTGGGTTAGAAGCCGGCCTGGGCCTGCTAAACAATGACAACTACAAAAAGTAGCCAGGCATTGTGGGGGGCACCTGTAGTCTCAGCTACCTGGGAGGCTAAGGCAAGAGAATCACTTAAGCCCCTGAGTTTGAGGTTGCTGTGAGCCGTGATGGCATAGCACCCTATCGAGGGAGACACAGTGAGACTCTGTCTCAAAAGAAAAGAAATACAAGTAAGGAAGGCACAAGAAAGTAGAAACACACGAATGGAGAAATGTATTACAGGGACAACGAGAAATTACGTATGACAGGGTTAGCTATTGCTCTGACTGACAGATGCTTTGGGCAGACTCAGAACACCGGAGAGTTCTCATGTAGCAAATAAGAATGTAACAAAACAAGTATCTGGGTCAGGAATTTAAAAAGA